TCCTCCTTGCCCCTCGCGCTCCCTCCACAATGAACCAATCTGAACACGGGTTTCCGCTTTCCCCGGGTCCTGTCAGAACGGGGCTTTTTCTCTCCCTCGAATTGCACCTCATCGCGCAGGAATCCAAACGCAGGTTTTTTTTTATCTATATATATAATATAAATCAACTGCAGTACACTACGTAAGGGACTGTATGGGTACGCGGGGGGGGCCGGCTGGCGCCTGGCTGGGCCGCTACCAGACGTCCTTCGGCGTGTGCATCGAGATGATCGACCACGGAGCCCAGCCGCCGCGGGCGTGGCACCTGCAGGCGGACTTCCCCAAGTCGCCCGTGGGCGGCCCGCGCGGGTGGGATACACGCCGCGCGGGGGACCGCGGGAGACCGCGTGGGCGCCCAGCGCATAGGGGGGGGTACGTGCGCCGAGTTTTCGCCTTGCGTTCGCCCGTGGGCGCATCGTGGGCGCCACGCTCTCCTCCTCCTCCTTGTCGTCGTCGTCCTCCTCCTCCTCCTCCTCCTCCTCCTCCTCCTCCTCCCTCCTCCTCCCCCCTCCTCCTCCTCATTCCTCCTCCTTTTTCCTCCTCCTCCTTCTCCTCCTTCTCCTCCTCCCCCCTCCTCCTCATCTCCTCCTCCTCCTCCTCCTCCTCCTCCTCCTCCTCCTTCTCCCCTCCTCATCCGCCTCCTCCTCCTCCTCCTCCTCCTCCTCATCTTCTCCTCTTCCTCCTCTTCTTCCTCCTCCTTCTCCTCGTCCTCTGGGGGGGGGGGGGGGGGGCGCGCCGAGGTTTCGCCGAACTGCTCGCACGGCATATCTCACACCACACAGCTCGCACCACGCGTTTTACACCGCACATTTCAGGAGGGAAAGAAACACACAGACACAATTGATCGTCGACTCCCAGGAAAGTGTGGAACATATGGGAAGTGGGGGGAGGGCAAAACACCCAGAAAAGATTGGGAACGATAGAGAATAGTGCGATTTGTGTGTATGTATTTGTGCGTTGCAGGGCCCCTTCAAGATTTTTCAATCACACAACAGACACGACCCGCACAGCTCACGCCGCGTAGTTTACGTAATAACTCGCACCGCAGAGCTCACATCACACAGCGCGCGCCGCATGTCCTACACGAAATAGCTTACGCAACGCTGCTTGCACCACGTTGCACATACACCGCATATCCTGCATAGTGTTCATCCCTAATGTTCATTCTCTTACCATTCGGGGCCCACGCTGTCCAACATGTTGCTCCGATGTGCAAGCCTGAGTCTGCAATCCGAGACGGCGGGGTGGCCATTCGAGACGATGGCCAGTCAAGCTTCCGGTCTTGCAAAGGGACGTTCGCGCTACAGCGTCGGCCGCTTTTTAGGATCGGCGCTTTGCCTTATCTTTTAGAGGAGCGCTCTTGCCCCAGCGCGGGCCGCAATTCTGGATCCAAATCCTTTTGCGTCGTTGTCGCCCCGGTCCGTTCATCTCCTTCGCATTTCCACGTTCCTTTTTCTCTTCCCGTTCCTCCTGATCGTGCTCTTGCCGATGCTGCTCGTCGTGTTTTTTCTTCCTCATTACCGTCATCATTCTCTTACTCCTGCTCATCCTTTTTTACCGAGCGCATACCGAACGCATTCCACTATTCGCAGATTTCCTAGTCGCAAACGTCTGAAAACATGTCCGTCGTAGATCCTCCGCGGGGGGGTGGCCCAGGCCATTAGCAAGTAGTTACTTTGCGAGTAGTGAAACGCGCTCGTCTTCTTGTGACCATCCGCCATTCGCTCTTCTGCCTCCGATGTACGCAGCCCCCCTTGCCTGATTGAGCATCGCACGATGGGTCCTTTTAGGGTCTGCGGTCCGCTATGATACCCGTCGGTGGATAGAGCACAATCAGCGCAACTGGACGGGACGGGCGGGATGGGTAGGATGTCAGGTACGGCGCGTGCACACTCAGCAATACTTGCCCGGAGACGCCCGTTATGAAACGCAACGCGTGCCGTGTTCAAAACGTCCGTGTCAATACGTTGCGTGTTGGTTCAACGCATTGGCCCCATGGTTTGGCGAACGTATCGCGTCAGACCTATTTTAACTGTGCGCGTTGCGCTCCGTATCAACACGCTACGTGTTGCGTGTTGCGTGTCGGGGCGGCTAAGATCTTTCCTTCGGTCCTACGCCACGACTCGTCCTCGTCATGTTCTTTTCTTTCTTCCGGCTGCTCCTTTGTTGATGTCTTTCCCCCTGCTTGTCTCCCTCAAACCTTTTGCGCCTTCTCCGTCTCTCCCCCTCCTCGCTATCGTCTTGGCATGGCTCGGACGTGTGCATTTTTTCGGCGGGGGCCATCGAGGAGCATCTTGGATCATCGAGCCAAAGACACACACACGAAGGCGACAAATGCACGGGCAATTGACGTTCGAGCGATGGCGAGTCGTCCCCGCCTCCTCATGACGTCCTTTCCCACAGCCCCTTTCCTTCTCCTACTCATCCTCCCCCCTCTTCTTCCTCTTCTCTCTCCCAGCCTGGTCCAGCCCCCGCGGAGCCAGCCACGCGCCATGTCGCAGCTTGGCCTGAGCGCGGAGGCTAAGGAGGCGGCGCGGACAGATTCCGAAGTGGACGGCCGCAAGGCAGGGAGGGGGGGGGGACGGTCGGATAGTGGAACAGGAGGAGGGAGGAGGAGGAGGAGGAGGAGGAGGAGGAGGAGGAGGAGGAGGAGGAGGAGGAGGAGGAGGAGGAGGAGGAGGAGGAGGAGGAGGAGGAGGAGGAGGAGGAGGAGGGAGGAGGGAGGAGGAGAGGAGGAGGAGGAGGAGGAGGAGGAGGAGGAGGAGGATGAGGAGGAGGAGGAGGAGGAGGAGAGGAGGAGGAGGAGGAGGAGGAGGAGGAGAGGAGGAGGAGGAGGAGGAGGAAGGAGGAGGAGGAGGAGGAGGAGGAGGGAGGAGGAGGAGGAGGAGGAGGAAGGAGAGGAGGAGGAGGAGGAGGAGGAGGAGGAGGAGGAGGAGGAGGAGGAGGAGGAGGAGGAGGGAGGAGGAGGAGGAAGGAGGAGGAGGAGGAGGAGGAGAGGAGGAGGAGGAGGAGGAGGGGAGGAGGAGGGAGGAGGAGGAAGGAGGAGGAGGAGGAGGAGGAGGAGAGGAAGGAGGAGGAGACGAGGAGGAGGAGGAGGAGGAGGAGGAGGAAGAGGGACGAAAAAGATGAAGACCAGGAATAGCCCAGATGCGCCAACGATGCCGCAGCACACCCGCACATCCCAGGCCTCCGCCCCCACAGGATCCCACAGGCGCTCACTGTCATTCCTCCTCTTCGTCCTCCTCCTCCTCCTCCTCCTCCTCCTCCTCCTCCTCCCCTCCTCCTCTCCTACTCCCCCTCCTCCCCCCCTCCTCTCTCCTCCTCCTCCTCCTCCTCCTCCTCCTCCTCCTCCTCCTCCTCCTTTGGTGGTTTGGCATTCGGCCCTGTTCTGTTGACGGGTCGGCCCGTCACATCTGTGGACGTTTGAATGTCTGGTGGTGGAGCCACAAGAGTCCCCGTGCTGCTGCCCCGTTTCGGAGTGGAACCGCCCGGCATCCGCGTATAGCTGTTTTACAGGTTTGAGGTCCTGTCGTAAGCCCAAAGGAAGTCTCAAAAGAGCCGCCCCCCCATCCGTGGAATTACGTTGCAAGCGTGTAGCATGAGTGTAAGACGAATGTGCGCGGCGCTGAGACGAGAGCCCCACCTGAACACGATTTGCATTCCACCTTTTTAAGAACAGCACGGGTGTAAGGCCCATGCTTGCGGCCCCAAGGCGAGAGCATCATTCGGGGAAAAAAAAGCCTCATTCAGGAAGCCACCTGCGCCCCACCGTGCAAGTGCTGCAAACTGTTCAACGAACGTGCGCGGTGCTCAGGTGAGCAGATGCTGAGAATTATGAGATTCAACGTCACATCAGTGATAATATCTCAGGCGACATGCCCCGCCCGCCCTACCCGCGCGTCTGGTGGTGCGCCGATGGGGAGTTGTTCAAGTATAAGCAGGAGAGGCGGGGCAGGGATGAGGAGGAGGATGAGGAGGAGGAGGAAGAGGAGGAGGAAGAGGAGGAGGAGGAGGAGGAGGAGGAGGAGAGAGTGGGTAAGGAGCAGGAGCCGGAGGAGGAGGAGGAGGAGGAGGAGCCAGAAGGAGGAGGAAGAGGAGTGTGTATCGGACGGAGCGGGAGAAGGAAGGGAAAACAGACACAAGAGAAGGCGGAGTAGGAGAGGGGAGCAACATAAGAGGAGGAGGAGGAGGCGGAGGAGGAGAAAGAGGAGGAGGAGAAGGAGGAGGAGGAGGAGGGGGGCGGAAGAGGGAGGAGGAAGGCGACAGGACCCTAATGCCAAGGAGGAGGCGGGCGCGGTGGCGGAGGCGGAGGATGAGCGGCCACAGGCTGCGTTCGATTATTACAAGAAGACCTGGTCGATACAGTACACGGACGTCGGAAGCCCAGCCGTTGCCCCCTTTTGCTTGCGTGATGCCAGTGTGAACGATCACGTCTATGAATGGCGAGGTTGCCCTGTGTATCGTCATGCCGTGTATCCTCGGCAGTCGATCCACCCGCTTCTGAGCCACACGTTCGGCCACGCTGGCAGGACGCTGCTCAGCGCCCCTTGCGTTTCGCCTCTCGCCGATGGCACTCTGGCTTCCGGCTGGCATCGTTGCTCGGAGGTGTCCGCTCCCTCCCTCAGGGGGTAGGAGGAGGAGGAGGAGGAGGAGGAGGAGGAGGAGAAGGAGGGGGAGGAGGCGGAGAGGGAGGAGGAGGAGGAGGAGGAGGAGGAGGAGGAGGAGGAGGAGGAGGAGGAGGAGGAGGACCGCCTTCTCCCAGAGAAATCTGCAGTGTATCCAGGCCGCTGGATCTCCGTGTGTCCTTTGGCCCTGGGCTGCGTTGGGCCCGGCCTGGTGGTCGGGATGTCGTCCAGGAGGGACAGAAACACACAGACACAGTTAATCGTCGACTCCGAGGAAAATATGCAAAAATATGGGAAGTGCGGGGGAAGACAAAAAAAAACAAAACATGGGAACAGATGGGGCATCTTTTTATTTGTGTGTATTTATTTGTGTGTCCTGGGGCCCCTTCAGTTGTCAGGGGGAGGGCTGGAGCCGCCCTTTCGGGGCGCTGTCGGGCAGGGCAGTCGGCCTCTCGGCGGTGTGGGTGCGCTGCCAGGTCATCAGCCTGCCGCAGCAGGAGGCGATGTTCGAGCAGTGGACGAAGCTCGGGCCGGACGAAAGGGGGGGATTGGGAAAGGGGGGGTTCCCACCGGGGAGCCCATTCCTCGATACATGGGCGCCTCCGGCGCCGGGAGGCGCCAGGAAAATCAGCTTCGTGAGCTGATTCTCAAACCCCCCCTTTGCGCTATCCCCCCCCCTCTCGCCCGACCCGAGAGGCTGCGGAGGCGGTGCTATGGCTTCTGGATGGAGGATCTGGACAACCCCGCCCTGGAGGGCGCCCACGAGTTTCTGAAGGACGCCGGGTCGGCACACGGAGCTCGGCACGGGAGCCAGACCCCTTCGCGTTGTGGAAAAATCGCGACGGGAGGTTTTTCACTATTGTCGGCCTCCGGGGGCCCTCACCGGGCCTCGGGACCGTCAAAAAACGACTCAGGATGAGAAACCGGTCCCGCGGGGAAGGGGTCCAGACCTCTGGGGGTCGACGTTGTGAAAAAATCACGACGTCGGGGGTCTGGGGAGCAAGGCTGAAGGAGGCACGTCCCAGCATCGTCTGGCCGCTCCCCATCCCACCGGGCCACAGGGCTGGGCCTAGACGCTGTTCTGGCCATCTCGTGGGCCGTTCTGTGGTTCGTCTCGTTTTGCAGTCCAGGCGGAGCGAAGGCAAAACGAGGAAGAACGAAACACAAACGACGAAACGCACTGCTTGTGTTCAGCCCTGCTGAGCCATGGCATCGCAGCCCCTTCAGCGCCCCCCCTCCCCAGCTGGGGATCGGCCCGCGAATCCCAGAGGAACATATCATATGTGTACATATATATATATGCATATATGTATGTGTATATATTTATATATATGTATGTATATATACATAGATCCCCACCTGGGTGGGTCAGTCGGCCTGTAGGACCGAGTCCGCGCCAGTGGGGATACAGTCGGGGTGCTGAAGAAGGAGCCCTTTTCTTGTGGGAGAGGCTCAGTGTTCCCCACTTGTTTTCAACATCCCAGTTTAGGGATCGGTTGAAAGATGCTCAGTGCTTGACGTACTGCAGGAAATCTGACTGCCTGTGGCCCTGTGACCGTGTTGGCGCAGCACAGGTGTGCATGCAGGGTGATCCTGCTGCTGTCTCCGAACAGGCTCGGTTGGGTCACCATGAGGCCGATATCCAGGACGCGGCTCGACGGTGCTGTAGCGTGGCCCATTCGTTACACTGCACAGATGCTGTTGCGTCGAACTTGTCGGGATTGTTTGAGGCCACTCGTGGGCTTCTCTGAGGCCTCGGGCCCTTCTTGGCGCCCCTCGGGGGCCCGGTTGGGGACGTGTCCGGGCCGTGTTGGGCCCAGTGGCTCCACCGAGCTCTCCCGCAGAGGCTCGGTTGAACCGTCATGGGGGCGCCTTGTCAGCTCTTGGGGCGGTCCTGGGGCCCTCTTGGGGCGATCCCGGGCCGTCTTTGGGTGTTATCGGCAGTCCTGGGGCTGTTTCGGGGCCCCCTCCAGACAGGGGAAGGTCTGTGCGTTCGATTTGTTCTGCCCCCGCTGGGGGTTCGAACGCATCCACCCTGAGGTCCTTGCGTCGATTCCTTCTTGCACCCCGCGTTTCCACGCGGCTTTTGCGCCTCGGGGCCCTCGCGGATCGACTTGGCCTCAGAACTGCCGCGTGCGGACGGCGTCGAAGGCCTCGGTCGTGACGTGTTTTGTCCGCGGCGCTGGACCCCTTTGGGAGGACGGGCCCCCCCTCTGCAATCCTGGCAATCCTCGGCGGCCGTGTGGGCCTGGCGGGCAGAGCCCTTGGCTCCCGAGCGGGGCGGGGCGGAGGCGTCTTGCACAAGGCCCTGCGGCCGGTGTCGCCGACCCTCCGGGGGGACGACGCAGGCGACGACGAAGACGACGACCCCGACCCCCATCGCTCTGTCGAAAAATCGCGACGTGAGGTTCTGCTACATTTTTGGCCCACGGGGGCCTTCACTGGGCCCCCGCACCGTCGAGCAACGAGTCAGGATGAAAAGTCGCCCCTGGGGAAGGGGTCCAGCTCCCTCCCTCCCTCCCTCCCTCCCTCCCTCCCCTCCCTCCCTCCCTCCCTCCCTCCCTACTCTGGGGGTCGACGTCGTGAAAAAGTCACGACCGCCGGGGGTCTGGGGACGGCGCTCGCGAGCCTTCGTGGGGGCCCTTGCGGGCCCCGGGACACCCCCTGAGGGCGGAGGGGGGGGGGTGGGGCGACCCTCCGACCCGCTGTTTGTACGATGGCAGCAAGGTTTTTGTTTAGGGTTTGCCGCGCGATTGGCACGATATGGTTGATCAGTTGATTCGCCATGTTTGTCTTCTCGGGCCGGACGAAAGGGGGGGATTGGGAAAGGGGGGGTTACGAAATTTGCTGCGTGCAGCTGGTTTCGGCCCCACCGAGGGGCCCATTCCTCGATACATAGTCGCCTCCGGCGCCGGAGGCGCCGGGAAAATCAGCAACGTGAGCTGATTCTCCCCCCCCCCCTTTGCTATCCCCCCCTTTCGCCCGACCCGGTCTTCATCCGTACATTCATCATACAGTGTACTCATCATTCGATGGTTCATGATGCTGTGCATCTCTTCCAGGTGTGGCGGCCAGCGCATATGCCCCATGCTTGAAATCCTTTTGGAAAGTCGCCACATCAAGAATATGTTGCAAGAGCCGCTGCGCAAGGATTTCACGTGTGGGGGATCTACACCACAAAAATAGCGGGAGTCACAGGTGTTCCTCTTTTTTTTTCAATGTGCTGACGCATGTTTTGTATGAGTTGCTTGTTTTTTGTTCGTGGTGAGGTTCCGCGGCCCCGCGGAGCCGCCACTGAAATCCCAACCAGGGTGTTTTCACAGGGGCACATCGGCATTAGTGTGGTAATCTGTGGCGACGTAATGTTGTGGTGCAGACACCCACACTTGAAATCATGTTGCAACAGCCCTTGCCAAAAAGATTCCTATCGTGGTGACCTTCCACAAGGATTCTAAGTGTGGGGTGTCTGCGGTGGCCGCCACACTTGAAACCCTTGTGCAGGAGCTTTTCCGCAAGGGTTCTTCGCGTGGCGATTTCCCGAAAATATTGCAATTGCGGGGGATCTGCAGCTGCTTCAATACGTATGATCTGTTTGTAGCAGCGTACGCAAAGGGATTACTTCTGACCACCACACAATGATCCAGTTGCTCAGTCTACTGCAAAAAAGACTCCAATGCTGGGGATCACTGCAGGCCCCAAACAGATGATCCTGTTGTAAGGTCACAACTCAATGAAGGGGTGTTACATCAGAATTCCAAGCGTCGGAGGTATGCACCAGATAAATTGCTAGCGCCACAGGTGTTCCTAGCTGTTTCCATGTGAATGCATTCTTTTTATAAATACATATATATATATGATACGTATTGCTTTTGCCACGCTTTCAAGTGTAGCTTTCTTGGGATCCAGGCGCCGCCGCTGCAGATCGTCCGCAATTGGAATCCTTTCGCCAGTCCGCAGCAAAGTACATCTCTCTGCGCAGTCCGCTACAACATGTTTTTTCTTTTTGCGGAGACCATTACAGATCCCCCGCATTCAAGATCATGTTGTAAGGTCGCCGCAAAAGAGGACTAATTATTGTTGTAAAGTGTGCTGCAAAAGGAATTCAAGTGTGGCGGGCACTGCAGATGCTACATGCTCACAACCCTTTTGGAAGTTCGTCACAACAGGTATCCTTGTGCAGGGACTGCTACAGAAGGGTCCCAAGTGTGGGGGTCAGCGTCATAAAAAAAAGGTAGCGGGAGCCACACATCGTCATAGTCTCATGTGCAAATACACTGTTTGTTTTAACAATGGCTTTAGTTGTTTTGTCGCGTTTTCTTGTCCACCTTCCGCGGCCACACGGCGCTGCCGTTGGAAACCCTTTACAATCAGCATCCGCTAGACATTTTACTACATATGGATTTCATGTGGATTGACGTACACATTGAATCTGCTTGTAATGTTTTTGAAGTTTTTTCAATATGGACGATGTCAGTGGCGGTGCCGTGGAAATCGTTCTACCTAAAGCATGTTGCGCATCTGCTTTTACATGGATCAACGTGTCTGTGTCTTTAGCTTTACATATGACGTGAATGCATGCAACAAGCTGTATATGTAGGTGATAGCAAGAAGACAGCTGGTTGTAATCGCACCAGCGGTGGGTCCTACAAGGGCGACCCCCACCAGGACCCTTCGCGTGGGGAAGGGATCAAAGGGACGAGGCTAGTTATTTCATTCTTGACGTTTCGCGTGTCCCCACCAGTCCGTACCCCCTCTGGCTCAAGCCGCTCCCGCCCAAGCTGCAAGCCGTCAGGAGGCCTCTGCCCGTTCCCTTCCCTTCTCTTGTCTCGTTTTTCCCCTGGCCACATTTCCGTGATGAGCGCGTGGCTTTCTGGCGGGGCCTGGTCAGTGCGGCAGGACCCACGTGGCTGGCACAGTCAGGATTGGCACAGTCAGGGTTGGCATAGTCAAGCACAGTCAGGACCCACGGGGCTGGCACAGTCAAGGTTGGCACAGTCAGCATGGTCCGCCACATGATATTCAGCGAAGCTGGCACAGCCAGGATTGGCATAGTCAGCAGGGCCGCGAATTCGACTACGCCATCACAGTCTGGGCAGCCCGCCGCGCGAGACAGCGCGCGGCTCGTCAGCGAGCAGAACAAGATACTTCTCCGTCTGGAACTAGATGTGACGCTTCGGCGGCCTTGCCCGCAAACGACCCTACCACAGACTGCGAGCCCGAGGTCGTCGCTTTTCTGTGTCAGCGTGGTCTTGGGATGGATGCGTTGAGCTTCGCTGAGCATGGCTTTGAGCGCATGGCTGAGGTACGGCTTATGAGTTATCGACACATGCGCGACATCGGCTCACGACCTGGTCATTGCATATGTCTTGCTACAGCACTGGGCCAGCAGGCTGCAACTGAACAGGGAACCTGTGCCAACACTCTCCTGGGGCCGCCTGGCTTGCGCGGCTGTCCAACAAAGCTGCCCGGCGGCATGACCACGACGCAGACCCAGCGCACCGACGGGTGGGCTGGCGCCCCGCCTACGCAGGGCGTTTCCCCAGATATTGACTTTTCTCCTCCCTCCCTGCCAACGATTCCTCGAGATGCGACGGTTAGTCGCCTACACCGGGAAGATTGCGTAATGGGTCACCTCCACCGGGAAGAGCGCGAAGATAGTCGCGAATCGCAGGAGGAGGAGCAGGAAGAAGTCACGGAGGACCTTGCCGAACGTCCAACACAACCCAGTG